GCCCCGACGGGCCCGCGCCGTCCCGCCCCCTCCACCCGGCCCTGCGCCGGCCGTCCGGCTCCTGCCGCCTCTTCCCCGCTAGGTGCCCAGACCCTATGCGGCGTCCCACGCCCTGTCCCTCCTCCCGTGGACAGAACTCGGGCTCTGGAGTAACACGTAGGCTATTTTCAGTGATTGTTATCATTTAAGGCGAGAACCATGTGGCTGTGTTTGAAATGCAAGGCTTTCCACTCCCCCGTTAAAAATCAGCCAAGACACCCCACCTGTGTGTGTTTTCTGCTCAGTCTTCCAGTCTTCTCCCTGCGCTCTCAAAGAGGAATTTGAGAATTTTCAAAGAATTTGCCGGAGTTTCCCTCTCAGAGCCCACTTTTCGTTCTGCCTGTTCTAGTCCACCGTTATCTGGTTGCCCCCAATGAGTTTCGGTTCGGACGTTCCTGCCTTTTATTTTTCAGAATTATGGAGAGTTCAGAGAGGGTAGGCTTAATTTCTATTTTGTTGATACATTCGTTGGTCCTGAGGTGTCCTTCTAGCCTGGGATGGAGCTCATGCTGCAGTGGCTGCAGATAACTTCATGTGCTGCGACTTGACTCTGCACCACCAGGGAGGTCCTTAAAATTAAGAATATTTTTTAAATTAAGAATATTGTGGGATAAAGTACTTTTGGGATAATGTCAAGCAAGTTAAAAAACTAAAGTTAAAAACCTTTCTTTTAAAGGAGAATGATAAAGTAGGATAAAAATGAATAGCTTTGTGGGCCTCCCTGGTGGTGCAGGGGTTAAGGTCTTAGCACTATAGAGCAATCTCCAGCTGACCCACATGGCACAGCAGACCTCTCCTGTCTCCCTGCTGCTCCCCTCAGCAGTGTATTTCAGTTGATCTGCCTGTCCTGCTCCCTACACTGTCTCTGGTGAATCCTCTCACCCTCCACACCTCTGGCCTGCACCCCAGTTACTGTGTGCATACATAAGTGCAAAGTAAATCTTAAAAAGAATGAATAGCTTTGTAAAAACTAGAATATATGAAATTTATATTACCTGAAAAAATAAAATATGAAAAGCCTAGATTTTATGTTTTAAAAATATGAGCCATATTGAACTCTAAATGTTCCAGGATAATTTGTTACAGGTAGTGTAGTTATTAGGTAACAATTAGGTCATATTTACAAATGGTCCTTTATTTAGAGTGCATAATGGCTCATGATTGGGTTAGAATATAGCTACTCTAAGATGAAGCCAGTCTTATCAAAACACAGATACTTACATATTCACCCACAACTCACACAAAATTCTGTGACAATAGTATAAGAACAAGTCACAAGGTATGTTTGATTGTCTTCTAGCACATCTGACATTACTTGTTTAGCATCTAGTGTTCCACTCATGGAGCACACAACCAGACTTTTATATAACAGCCGGCTCTGGCAATGTCATTGCCAGCTGTCAGGCAGTTAATAGAATTTCCACCACTACCTGGTACTCTCCCTTGTCTGCTCTTCTTGAAGAGTATGTAGCCCAGAGTAAAGAGGGGTGAGGAGGAGTATTCTCACAGGGTGGTGAGGAGAGTGCTGCCATACCTTTTATTTGGTGCAAGAAGTAAAACGTTTGGAAACAGTGTCGGCAACTATCAAGCTATCACCACTAAAGCCTGAGTTTGATCCGCTACCAGGTTTCTAACCTACATATGGCTTGGCAGACCTCTCCTGTCTTGCCCGCTGCTCCCATTAACAGTGTATTTCAGTGAATCCACCTGTTCTGCTTCCCACTCTCTCTGGTGAGTCCTTTCATACCCTTTCCTCCTCTGACCTGCAGTCCAGTTCTTCCTTGCAAAAATAAACAAAAATAAGTCTTTAGAACGTGGAAAGTGAGTACTGAGGAATGCTATTGAAAATAACAGCCATCCCTGTAACTGATGGCAGGGGAAGGGCCTGTATCATTACTGGTCTGGGGTTGCAGCATGTGTTGATGTGTTGAGTATGTTTTCTGGACATAGACAACCTGAGGGTTTACATGGATACAGAGGTCATACGATCAAGTAAAGAGTAGACTTAGGGAGAAACTCAATTTTTGAAAGGGAACAGGAAAGTAAAAATGTTCTTCACTAATCCTTCTTATGGAATCTCCTTTTTACTGTGAAATCATTTCTTTCTACATAAAGTAATGAAGTCAGTGTACTAGAATAGGCTAACACCTTTCCATACCTTGAAAGGAGGAACTAAAGGCCACACTGAGGCTAGAAAGAGCCTGAATTGGAGATACCCTGGGGATGGACCACGTAGCCAGTGTGGAATGAGGTAATGTCAACATGGAGGCTTCTGGAGGTTCCAACACCTCAGTTGTCCTCTGATTGAATTTCAGCTTCCTTGAGTTAGGGCCTGGCTGTGCCCAGCTCTGCACTGTCTTGCTGGTGAGCTTCCCAGTCCCATGACCTCAGCAGCATCTACTCACTGATATCTCCCATATGTAGTTTCCAACACGGAAGTAAGTCCTGCTGAGCACCAGATCCATTTCTTCTGGCTATTTACTTGACAGTTCCACTTGCATTATCTCATAGTTAGCTCAGACTTCTTTATACCTCCTTTCCTCATCCATTGTGCTCCCCTGCAAACATCGACCCAGATCTAGATGATGTCTCTCATTTCTCACACCTGACCTCTGGTTCATGAGCAATCTTGTCTCTTCTTTTCCAAAATCCATCTGGAATGTGTCTCTGTATCTTCATTTCTTCACTCACCAACACAGTGAGTTCACCATTTTCTTTCACCTGAATCATCTACAATATCCCCTAACTGGACTCCCTCACCCTCTACATCCTTCAACACAGCCAATCACTAACTTAACTACTCAGGGGGAATTTATTCCACTTAATATTCAATACCACTAATTTGACCTTGGCCTTTTCTTTAGTTTTTGGCCCTTGCAGTGAGATAATTTAGGTGTTAATGAAAGAATGAGTGCAACTAAAGGAAAAAATATATATGTGGACTTTTTTTAGGGTAATATGCATGGCTAGCATGATAACCTACGCAGCCACCCCCTTGTCTGTGGGAAGGCTCTTTTGCCATTATCCCTGTTGCCAGGGTGATATTTTCAAAGAGGTGTTTACTCTGTCATATCCCTCTAGGAACCCCATGTTGTCACTCAGACGCAATACATATTAATATTTGCTTATTTTAACAAACTAAAAGTTTTCAGGTAAAGTTGAAGACTCCCTTTATTTTAATCCCTGTTCAGCCCCATTCATCATCATTAGATGATGAATATTATGGATTCCATACCATAGCTTTTTATTATTATAATAGTTTATTTTTACATCATTGTGTGCCATTTTCCAACTCAGTTGAAATCCCCGTAGACTTCCCATCATCAATTCACAGGTGTGCCATCACCATAGTCCTATGTACCCCCCCATTTTTGATCCCATTCCTCACTCCACCCCCATAAAATGTCTCTGTCATACCATAGCTTTTTTGTGTGTACTTTTACCATAAATTTGCACCGAAAGTACAAGGACCCCAGACTACCCACCCTCCCTCCCTCCCCACCCCATCTACCCTCCTTCCCTCCCCACCCCCTATCCACTCAGCCTCCCTCCCTCCCTCCCTCACCACCCTCCCTCTCTCCTTTCCTCCCATACCTCCCTCCTTCCCACCCAACCACACTCCCCACTCCCATGCTCTTTATAAGGGGGAAGTTAACTTTTGATTCTAAGGGGCCCTCCTCCCTTCATCCCTGGAGACCCAGAGCTGTATAAGGATGGGGCATGGGTAGATGGAAATTCTCCTGGTACCTGTTTAAATCATAAAAGGTGAGAGTCTTGCACATAAACATAAACCAGGTAACTTTATTAAAGGACCAATAACTTTACTGGAAAACTGGTAAAACTGAAAGAAAGAAAAACGAAAATGAAGAAACTGAAACGAACTTTTTAAAGGGCAATATTGCAAACGGCATGCCCCACATGGTGACCAGGGGGAGGCACCATGTTCCCCGTGATACGGGCAAGACAGTCCAGTCTCAGTTCTTGGGGTCCCCCAGGGTGAACTTGTCAAAGAGGTACTCTGCCATGCAGGATTCCGAAGCCCCCATCTTGCGCAGGTTGGTCAGGTGGTCACCGACCTCTTTGATGGCTACGACTTGCTCATGCAGGTAGCTGCGATCCAGGAAATCACACAGTTGGGGGTCTTGCATCTCAGTGGCCAGCTGGTGCAGATTCAGCAGGTTCTGGTTCACGCTCTTCTTCAGGTGCAGGGTGCACTCCATGGCCTTCAAGCCGCTATTCCAGGTCTCACGCTCTGGCTTCTGGACATCTTGGAGACGGATGCGGCCGCCTCTCATGTTTTGGTACTCCATCAGCTTCTCAGCGTGTTGCTTTTCCTTCAGGAACTGCTGCTGAAAGTATTCAGCGAAGTGCTTCAAGCCCACATCATCTTGATTGAAGAAGGAAGCCATGGAAAAGTAAATGTAGGCGGCGTAGAGCTCCAGGTTTATCTGGAAGTTGATGGTGGCCTCGCAATCAGAGTGGTAGTTCTGGAGCACTTGTGACTGCGCACTCATCACGGCTGGCTAGCGCAGGCACAGTGGTGAAGATGAAGTCTGCAGATGGCAGCTAAGGCGGCCGGGGCCTCAGAAAGTTTCTAGGAATAGATCGCTAGAGAGACCAGAGGCAATCTGGCTGCTGGGTTAGATGGCAGTTGGATGGCGGATGTCCCTCAGATGGGACCGGAAGTCGAAATGCTGAGGTAGAATCCGTTACTCCGCAGTTGAGAGGAGGGGGGTCAAGGGAGGAGGAGCTGACGTCAATCTATAACAGGATTGGTTGTGGACGAGCAGGGGGCGGGCCCTTTACACTGGATGGGCGGGGCTACAGGAGGCTGATGGCTGCATTCCAAGTTCATCAGCCACTGAGTGAGACAGGGCAGCTGCATTGAGAACCTCGCATCTAATGATTTTTTTTTTTTTAATTTGACAATATTATTTCTAAAGTAGAAGAACTTTATCTTGTTCTCTAATATTTCCCTTCTGTAACAGCCAGTTCTTATTAAATAAATCCAATTTCTTTCCTCAAAGCTCTGAGAATGTATTTCAACCTTTGACCGTCCTGTTTTCTTTTTCCAGAAAGTTGTTTATTTATCTTCAATGTGTCTTACTTTTCTCAAATATCTGGCGAACCTTTGGTCAATTATATTTATGTATCAAGGACTCATTTGATTAGCCCACTTCACTATAGACTTCTTGAAATGTGCAAAGTGTCAATAACGCGGTGGTCTTCTCCTTTGGAGGTACTTGACATGAGGTTTGCAGGTAGAGTAGACACCCTTCCTATTGTCAAAACAAGCACTCTGACCTTGGAAGACGTGCTTATCCTTTCTAGTATATGTTGTTGTCCTGTTTTTGCAGGGTTGTTGTCTTAAATTAATTCACTGTCATTGGCTAGAAGTGTTGGGTAATTAATGGAGGTTAATGCCACAGTGACTTATTGCTCAAAGCAGTAGTGCGGGAAGGTAAGAGCAGGGTGTGACAAACAGATGTGGTGTTCACATTGTAGCTCTTTATCTTAAAAGGACTAAGGACCATCCACAGTACTGCACTTTAACTTATTGTCCTTAAAGTTTCTCTGAATTTTGATCTGATTTTCCAGTGGAGATGTTTCAAGTCTCTGAACTAACCAACCTAATAACACCTGCTTTTCTTCCAAGAATTCCTCACAATTCCTGATCTTTTAATGGTATCCTTTGGGTGTGTGTATAAATAAATGTGTTAAGCTAACCCCTATGATTCAATTTGTTTTCTGCTACTTAAAAATTAAAATCCCTGCTTTTTGAATAAGCGATACTATTCATTAACTTTATTAATTCATATATTATAATTCTGGGAGTACAGCTTCACACCTCTACAGGTGTATAAGCTTCACATCACCCACCACCAAAGTTCGAGTGCCACGATCAGATTGACACCTTTACTTTTCCATCCCTTTCTCTCCTCTCAGTGATAACCACCATATTTCTCACAGTGCCTAAGTGATTTTTGGTAGAATAAGTTAGTTCCTTTTATTTGGTTATTTATAATCCTCACATGACAAAAGTCATTCATTAATTTTCATTTTCTGACTTATTTCACTTACCATGATCACCTCAAGTTCCATTCATGTTTTCCCAAAAGACATGATTTCCCTTTTTGTAAAGCTGAATTGTGTTCTATTGAGTATATATAATATGATTTCTTCTCCCCATCAGTCACCCTTCCATAGGCATTTGAGTTCTTTCCCTGTCTTGGCTCTTATGAATAATTCTGCCATAACTTAGCAGGTTATATATGTATTTTAGTTTGTGTTTTCATATTCCTTAGATAAATACCTAGCAGTGGTACTTCTGGATTATTTGCTATTCCTCTTTTGACTCTCAAGGGGATCTTCATATCATTTTCCCTAGAAGCAATACCAATTTGCATTCCCGTGAACAGTGTATAAGAGTTCCTTTTTTTCACACCCTTGCCAATACTTGCTTCTTCTCTTTTGATATAGGCCATTTTCACAAGGGTGAGGTGAAACTTCACAGTGGTTTTAATTTGCATTTCCTTTTTGATAAGTTAATAAAATTTCATGTTCCTATTAGCCATCTGTATATTTTCTTTGAAGAAGTGTCTATTCAAGTCTTCTGTCCATTTTTGACTGGAATGCTTTGTTGTTTTAAGCAGTATGAGTTCTTTATATAGTTTGGACGTGAGCCTTTTATCAGACCAAAGATGTGCAGATATCTTCTCCCATCGGCAATATTGGGGATTAAAGGAGGCTGATGCCACAGCACTTAATGCTCAAAGTTGTGGTGGGGGGGGAGGAAGGGAGGAGCAGGGTGGGGCAAACAGAGGTCCCTAATCCTAGAAAGAAATCTGGGCCTTTGAGTACCCCAAAACTAAAATGAGAATGAGGAACTCGAGGTGCTGGTTAAAGGAAAGATTGATTAAAAAGAATCAGAACAAGAAACAAAGCCTCAGGGAGACTTTCTTAAACAAAGAGGCTCTCCAAGATGCCAGGGCCAGGGTTCTATGTAGGTTTTAGGACTGGGGTTTGAGAAAAGAATTCAACTTTATTGGCTTAGAATGTGTCACCTTGAGGGGCAGCAGCTCTGGAAGTGGCGCCTGGTGAGGGAAAGATTACTCCAAGTCCATGTGGAGCAGTGAGAAGCCCAGAGGGGCGACAGCAGGAGGTAATGTGCAGCCCCCACCCAAAGGCACCTCGGATTCACTAGACTCAAGTGCGAAGGTGGGGCAAGTAGGGCGTGTCCACGCGAGGGGAGAGCAGTTACTGGGGACATAAGCGAGGTGGGGTGACCCGGGCCAGTCCAAGGGGTGCCCATAGTTCCTGCCGGTCAAAGCATATTATCCATGTTCTCCTGTCTGCCTGCTGCTTTCAGCAGACAGTTTCCCAGTATGTTCCTCAGACCAGGACTGGTGTCCTTGGTGAGAGGCCTCCTGCCTGATGATCCTGGCTGACCAGCCCGAATTCTGGGTAGCAAGACAACAGCCCTGAGTCTAAGGAGTGCTAAGGATCCCAGCTCTCCCCATTTCTTGTAATTTAAGCTTGCACTCTGGATAGGAGTCTAGTGGAGAGACAGCTAATGGTTGGCCTATTGGCAACGTCACAAATAGATCAGTATAGCTTCAGCATGGAGAGTTCTCTGGAACAGGTGGCATAGGACCTGGGAACATTCAGTCCTGAGAACCAGTTTGTTGGATAAAGAAGCCAGAGGCCTGGATCATTCATAAGATATTGTGGTCCTTTTCCAGCCTCTAGTTTGAGGGATATTCTGGCTTCCTGGTGTCCCAGATATCTGGATGGAGTGGCTGAGGCGACTCTGAGCTTCTTCAGCATGGTCTTCTCCTACCCTGGGTTCTTCATCATTAGAAGTTGACAGTCAGTTTGTCCCCCCATCTGGCCCATGGCTTGGGTTGGCCCTGCCCTCTCTTGGAGAGTAGGACAGTCCCTCTTCTGATGCCCTGTGTGATGGCACAGGGGCACGGCCCTGGAGGTGCTTCATCAGCCACTTGCGACTGAGGTCTCCCATTGCTGGCAGTAGACACAAGCTGGTGAGGTCCTGAATGCCCGGAGGGCACCTGAGGCCTCTGGTGAGATGAGGTGGCAGGGTGTGGACAGTGGAAGCTGCAGCTATTACTGGGCCCTCGTCTTTCTCCCTCTCCTCCTTTTAGTTGAGCCTGCCTGGTCTCCTCCCTGTCATTGTAGAACTTGAAGGCCATGTCCAAAGTGTGAGAAAGAGGCAGGTAATTAAATAACCACACACATGTGAGGCATTCTGGAGTTCATGATGAAAACATAATGTCAGAAAGTACACATCATGAACTGAGCTCCTGAGCTGTAAGGCCATTATCAGTTCACACAAGGGTGTTCAACCTGTTTTTCGTAAGATCCTTTATGGACTGCTGGGGAGAAACATCAAGGTGATGTGCCATAATGTCTTTTCAAAGAAAAGATATGAGAGTGAAGTCTAATTCTTAGTAAAAGTCCAGTCAAACCCAGCTTCCACTGTGCAGGACAGCCAGAATAATTATCTTCTGTCCCATCCTGGGAGGCAGTTGTATTGTCAGCAGCTGGAGTTAAGGGAGGGTTTATCTCGCCTGATGCCAATTCATGGTATGGACCAACAGCCTTTGCTTCTGTGTATCCAGGGAGGCCCTGTGCAAGACAGAAGCATACCCTCTACCCAAAGTTAATGATTCAGTGGGGCCAAGCCACTGTGATCCTCATAGTGGGTGTTGATGCAAAACCATAGGTCTTGGTTCAGACTCAGTAAGAACGAAATCTCACTCAATACTTCTTAGGCCGGAGGAATTGCTATTTAGTAAGTTTAAAGTTGTTGACTCAGGCAACACCACACTATCAAAGAAATGGGAGTTGTGCAGGATGCTGCAGAGAAGTCAAAACTTGGCCTTTTTGTTAATTGATTTTACAAAGGCAATGACTCATGGCAGGAGAACAAGGAGAAGAAAGTTAGAAGGAAGTGAATGTGTGATTAGGTTATTTAGGCTTTTTGAGGATCCAGATTAGCTTTATGGCCCATGTTTGAAGATCAAAATCAAGCTTCCGAACCCCACTCATGGTTCCAATGTTAGCAAGACATTCGGCTGATCAGACTCTGGGGCAAAAGCTATAGATCAGCCTATGGCCCCCCAGGTATTCCTGGTCTTGCCTCATGATGTTTACTCATTGTCCCAGTAAATTAAGCATCCTGCTCTTGTTTAACTTCAGTGGAACCTTTGCTGGGTCAGTAGTTTACATTTTTTAAGATTTGGTAATTGATTGACTGACCCAAATGGACTTTGTCCTGGAAAGGCTTAACTGCATAGCCAGAATGGTGGCTTAAGCAGCCCTTAACTGCATAGCCAGAATGGTGGCTTAAGCAGCCCTTTAAGCCTAGCAGAAACCACAGACAGTAGAGCCATATATATATTTTCTCCATGGCGGCAAGTTACTCTCCAGATTCTCCCTTTTTTGCTTTATAAGTTATCTTCCAAGGAGTCAATTGACTTTTTTAACAATAGCT